CGAGTAGCAAAACATTACTACCTGCCAAATATCTTCCTGTATATGCCATGGGGCTGAATGGAGAATATATACAAACTATAATATTTATTCTGGGCCAGCTTTAGCTCTGGCTCCAGCTCTGAGGCCTCTGCTGCTGAAAGCAGGTATCTGGTTTGTTTGGGTTCTATAATCAAAACACTGTATCAACTCCAGCTCTGAGATCCTGGCAGGCTGAAAGCAGGTTTCTGGGGTTTTGTTTAGCTTCTATATTTGTAACAATGTTTCAAACTGCAAGCTCAGAAGCCGGAAGGCAGGCAGAACGTTGGTTTCCTCCGTCACTGAAGCAAGCAAGCCTCATGTTAGCTTCAAGCTGCTTGGCTGCCGGCCGCCATCTTGGCTGGCAGTTAATTTGCATATCTCGCTGATTAGCCAATGGGAAGGGTAGCGGGTGTACACCAATTACCATGTTTCTCTTTTATTAGATAGGATAAGAGTAATATGAGGTTTACTCATACAGAAGGCATTTTCCCTATATTTGGGATCTGAAATATTTCCCTTCAAAAGAAATTCATATATATGTCTTTAAGGAAGATTCAACATCATTAAAATGTTTATTCTAAGTTATTTTATATATTTAATATAGTCCCAATAAAAATAATATCAAGATTTTTTTTCTGACACTAGTCTAGTTGGTTAGAAAGTTTATTTGTAAGAATAAGTAAGAGGACCCAGGAAAATGTTAAAAATGAGGGAGAACCTACCTCTACCATGTACTAATACATATTAATGATGCCTAATTAAAAGTGTAGCAGTGGCACATAAAAAAAGGAAAAGAAACTTCATAAACCCAAATCTATGTGGAAATTTGGTATATAATAAAGATGTCATTTTAATCGGTAGAGAAATGCATTATTTTTTTTAGGTGAAATACATAATGGGAAAAGGACTTTTTAACAAAAGGTGTTAAAAATAACTGGACAGCCTGTGGATAAAGATAAAACTGACTCTGTTCCTCACTCTGCACATCAAGATAAATTTGAAATGGGTGCAAAAAAAGAAACCCTACTGGTCTTGAAAAAAACAAAACAAAAACATATATGAATTTTTTTATAACCTGGGAGAAAATGTATTTCTATGATTCAAAATCCAGAATATGCATACATCTAAATAAAGTTAGTAAAACTGAGGGCAAAAGTTTATGAAAAATAGTTAAAAGAGTAAGAAATTGGCAAAGAAACAGGCCCAATTTGAAAGTTAGAGATAGATGGGAAAGTGGGAAAAGTGGTAAGATAAGAAAAAAGCAAGTGAGTAGAGGAAAAATAAAGGATGCTTTGAAATTGGTGGAAGTGAGACTTCATAAATCAGGACCCAGGGGAAAAAAAAACTAAATCCTAGAGTATTTGCAAAGAAGAAACAAACACAACTCAATTTAAATATTGCCAAGATAACAAGTATGAATCCAAAAAAACCACAATGGGTCTCAAAAGTTAAGAAACACATGTGCTAGATTAGCATGGCCCTTGCACAAGGATGACACACAGATTCATGAAGCGTTCCATATTTAAATAAAATAAAAAAAGAAAGAAACCCAAGTTCTAGTCCTTAGCCGCCAGCCCTACCACCAAGCTTCTAGGATACCTCAGTATGAAGATGTGAGTTTCAGTTTGTCATTTATTAAGAAAAAATATTGTCCCCTGCTCCTTAGTTTACCTTACAGAATGCAGAATTCTGAGTCTCAGTTTCCTCAGCTATACAGTGAAATGTTGAGATGAGATCGTTTCAAGAGCTCTCTTCCAGCTTTATGATTGTAGGGGGCAATGGGTCTGTATTATCACTAACATTAGACTTAGAGGAGGCCTGCCTATGTCCCAATAAGAAAGAAGAGAAAAAAATATATAAAAATAAGCCACTTGGCGACCACATAAAATTCACCAACATATGCTTTTCTCTTTACAATAGTATAAAGAAGCTGCTTTCTAAAGAATACTTTCCAGGCCCTAACTTGTTTGGCTCAGTGGATAGAGTGTCAGCCTAGGGACTAAAGTAGTGGACCCACCCCATAACAAAGAAACAGAATTTCCGGAGGATGAGGCCCAGAAATCAGGATTTTAAAAAGATTCCCAGGTGATTCTAATATGCAGCCAAGGTTGAGAACCACTGGACTAAAGGGTCCCAGGTTTGATTCCAGTCAAGGGCATGTACCTTGATTGCCTGGGCACATCCCCAGTAGGGGGTGTGCAGGAGGCAGCTGATAGATGTTTCTCTCTCATCGATGTTTCTAACTCTCTATCCTTCTCCCTTCCTCTCTGTAAAAAATCAGTAAAATATATTTTTTTTAAAAAGAATACTTTCCAGGATAAGCAGTTAACCTAAATTAAGACCAAACATCTATTTAAAGACTAAGTTACTAACAATTATACAATCTTCTAATCAGCAGATTTTCCCTTTATTTTCTCTTAGTATTTTTCTTCAGTTCTTCCTCTTCAGAGAACTTGATTTGACAAAGTGAGAAGCTGAGCTCTTATTAAACTCATCTGAAGCATGTATAGCTATTAAAAAGGTAATATTTTGGCACAGTTTCTAAATCAGAGTGCTGGTATACTGAAAGATCAAATTTTAGATGAAGATAGGTAACAACTAAGCTACATATCAACAAAAATGTTACATTAATTTTATACTCCAGGTAATTTTCCCCAATAACCTGTTATGGGTCCATTTCCAAATCCTCCTCATTATTCATGCTGCAGTCCTATCTTTCTGTCTTCCAAAGCTAAAACAATTTTCTTAAACGTAGCCTTCTACCACCTCTTTCTGTTGTGCCTCAACTGGCCTATCTTTTCCTGTCAAGGTTCTCGCGTTTTTCTACTGTAGATCACAGGTCTCCCCTTCAATTCTTAATTTCCTTCCCTGGTTTTTCCAACCATTCTCACCAGCTCCTACTGCTTTAATTCACAGGATTTTCCTTGCTCTTCGCTGTTAGTTAGGGCCTGCTTTCACAGTACACTCTCCCATCCTCATCTCCTTTTCATCCGTGTTTGTACATATCACTTCTTCACCGCCTGAGGTTTCTCTTCCCTGGTCCTCAACCCCAAGAATATCTACCAAATCCATCTCTAGGTTCCTGAACACGTACTCTGTCTGACGACCTTCTCCCCAAGTATCCTCCCAGCCCCTTCCCTCTGGGCAGTCATCCGTTTCCAAAATCTTGTCTGATGCTACCAACACCCCTCCGAACCAACTTGCCCATTCAATTCTCCCTGCTTTTCAGCAGCTAACCCTGTCTGTCCCCTTCAACTCATTACGCTCCCTCCTACACATCCCTCCGCATCCCCTAAACCTGGCCCGAGCCACTCAGCAACCTAAAATGCCGCGTCTCTCTCTGCAACGCCGCTCCCTCCTCCCCTGGAAATGGTCTCCCTGAAACATTTTAAGTAGCTACTTTCCATGCTCCATTAACTCTGTTTTTTTCAAACCAGCACACGGCTTCCATCAGACCTATTCGCCAGGCAAAAGCTAGCTGCCCGCATCTTCCTCTTGAAGCTTCCCGTGCACTAAACTAAACCCCGCTCCTCGTCATTTCTCCATGTCTAGAGCCCACGGTCGCTCCTCGAACCCCCTCGGTGCCCTCCCTTCTCATCACATCCCTCTCACCCTCCACAGTCCTCTTGGCTGTGGGATCCATCTTTCCTCGGGCCTCTCCCCCCAGCTTCCTCCTTTCTCCCAACTCCCCGAGTCTGCCTCTGACACCTCCGAGACCCTCTCGAGAACCCAAAACTGCTCCCTCGTTCCTTTCTTTCTCTAGCCCCGCTTCCGAGGTCCTCCGGTTCTCAGAGCTTTTCTAACATCTAGCTCTCGCCGTCTTTCTCCTCCTCCTAAATCTTTCCCAAGTTGCTTCCCTCGACTCCCAACTTTTCTCTCAGTCATTCCCCATTTCCCTCCGCCCTCCCTGGCAGCTTCAAACCCACCTCTGTCATCGCTGGACTCCCTTTTTTCAAACCTCCTCCATCCCTTCCTCTGCAGGTGCTTCCTAAGTCTCTCTGCCTTATTCCTTTCTCCCTTCAATCCTATCTGTCCTCCAATTTCCATCAACTTGGCGCCTCCCGGAGAGCCCACACCTGGCTTCTGCTACACCTACACGTCTCCAGGCCGCCGCCGCCACCATTCTCTCCGCTCCTTAGCCTCCCTTGCCGTGCAGCTCCAAACGCCCAGAGACACCATTCTCCAACGGCCAAGGCCTGGCCTCTAAGAAGAAGGGGTCCGGGTTACGTACCCCATTCGCATCTTGGCTCCGCTCTGATTGCCTCCGTTGCCGGGTAGAGGGGGGCGAGAGGGCAGGCGGCCGAGGTGCATGCTCTTCTCGAGGGCGGACATGAAGGGGAGGCCGCAGTCACACAGGAGCCAAAGCTTAGTCCCAGGCGAGGTGCGGCCCAGCTGGTCCCAGCTCGCCCCTGTAGCTGCTCCCAGTCGCCTCTGGACAGCACTCAGCCAGCCGCAATACCACCCACAGACCACCGGCGTCGTAAACTCCACCCACTCTCTTCAGGCGGTTTCAACGGAAGTGCGCAACCGGAAACTTCACAAAGGAAGCCGGGTAACGGAGTCTGCGGACCCTTCAGACCCCTAGCGGAGAACTCCACGGAACCTCGCCGGAAAGAGAAGCGCCCCTGGTGGCAATGCACTCTGGGCAATGGAGTCCTCAAAGGATGTATCCCTTTGCGCCTGCGCAGCTGGAGGCGACCGCGTCCAACCCCGCAGAGGTAGAGTAGCAAAGCATCGTGGGTGTTGCAGTCTATTGGCGGTACGGAGTCTTGGCGCCTTCCCTTCTCACCGCTTCCCGGACTGTTAGAGGAGGAGCGGCTGCTTTGTGCCTCCCAGGCTGCCCAGCGGCGCCGTTGCCGGGGAACGCAGGCGCGGTGGGAAGAGATGGCGGGAGGCTACGGCTTAGGTGCTGGGGCCGGAGTTGAGTTGGCGAAGAAAAGTTCGGCCTCGTCATGAAACAACGGAAAGGCCAGGGGCCTGGGGGCGGCCGTGGCCGCAAGAAAGGAGGTAACCTGAGCGGCCAAAGTTGGAGGAAAGCGTAATAGGGTGGAGTTAGGGATAAGGGTGTAAGGTGTTCTAGGGAGACCCCCATACCTGCCTGTAAAAAAAAAAGGGGGGGGGGTTGGAGGGGGGAGAATTACCAGGGAATCAGGATTAAAAAGAGGGCAATTGGCTCTCCAACGAATGGAAAGGAAATAGGGGCTAGAGTGGGGTGGGGACGTCAAACTGGGCAAATAAGTGGGGCGAAGTGAGAGCTAAAGGGTACAGGGAGGACGCTTCTACATTCTACAGATTTTTTCTTTCTTTTACGTTTTAGAAATTGAGATATAATTGACATAACATTATGTTAGTCTCCGGCAACTTTCACATGTATAATACACTGTTACCTACAGTCACCGCGGCATGCATTACATCCCCATGACTTGGGCGGGCTTTTAGTAACCACGTTAAACGTGTGTGAGGATATACCTTTGGAGGTCCATATAGGACGGAAGAAGCATAAGTTGGGGAGGGGAGTATGTCAGTAATCCCAGTAGGCAAGGGCCATTGCTTTATACGTCACGGAGTCCTCGAGAAGTAGCACAAAATAGGACTCAGTAAATATTCGATGAATGAGGGAAGCATGAGGGGCTTCAGGCGGGAGTGGGGAAGGATAGTTGTGGGGAGAGAGGAAGGAGTGGGAGTTACACGTGTGGTAGGTAGGGTGGGAGTGGGGACAGGGCAGGAGGCTCTCTGAAGGATTTGAGATGATGAAGAGTGTGTAGGTAGCAAGAGGTTATCATCAGGTTAGCGCCCTCGGAGAGACACAAGGTCACCAGGAGAGTAGGAAAAATGTTAGCTGCAGTGAGAAGTCACCCTAAGAACCCAGGGCAGATCAGGAAACTGGAAATTGAATCTCTACACACAGGGCTGCCTCAAAAAACAAAACAAAACAAAAAAAATCAGGTGACTGTCTTTTTACATTACATGCAAGGAGATGATAGAAATAGTGATCATACATTAGGGGTGAGGACGGAAGCTGCAGGCTGGACATGACTCTTACCCAACCGTGTACAGATATTTAAACAGTTTTAAGGAAGTGCCTTTTCTCCCAGGAATGATGAAGCATGGAAGTGGCCAGTTTTGCTGCTCCCTGTGTCAAACCAGTCACGTTTATTTGGTTGATAGGAAAATCAAAGTAGACATAGCACAAGAATGCCCTACACGCTGTACCATATACATATGTAGTAATGCTCATATGTACACCTGTGTATAACTTTTATATTTATCCATAAAGATTATGGTAGATTTTTTTCTTTTCTATAGAGAACAGAGAAGGTGTTCATTTCAGAAATCTGAAGAGGCATTTATATAGATATCTCATCTGAGAGGCTCCAGTGTATTTTCTTGTGAGGCCTGCCCACTCCGTAAGGGAAAAGTCAGAGGAATAGAAAAGTGTGTGTGATGTAGGAATGGTTTCTTATATCTGAGTCTTGGTTAGAAACATTAAAGGAGAGTTTTATAGAAAGCTATGATTAATTGCCTCATTTACATTTTGTTATTTGTCTGAAAGCCAGTAAATATTACAAACCGAACTTTGTGCCAAAAAAAATAGTGTAGAATATGAAGAATATAACCTCTGTACTCATTAACTGTATGATATTGGGCAGGAAAGTAAACATAGACAATTTAAGGTGGTCTTCATTAAGAATTGTAGACTTTGCAATAATCAAATCAACAGTAGTTGGAAGAAAATTTTCAATTACTGAGATTTGCATGTCTTAACTTAGTATGTTCTTTACTTATAATAACCTGAATCAAACCCTAAATACTAATTTGTTACCAGGATGACTTAAGGGACCCAAATAGGCTATTCTATGGTCTGATTTGTTAGTTACTTCTCCTTTATTAGGATAGATAGGATAAGCCTGCTGTCTGTTTTTGTGTATTTTTATTCAAAAAGCAGATTATATGTTTTCTGTATTTAGTCTAAATTTTGACTTGTTATTCTTGAATTCCTCCACAGGTTTGAGTGACATTCCTCCATCTACAAGCCTACCACCTCTAGTTGAAGGCCAGCTACGCTGCTTTCTGAAACTTACTGTTAGTAAAGTCATATGGAAGATTGCAAAGCCTCCCTCTTGTGTACTTGTCCGAGTGAGATGGTGGGGAGAAACATCAGATGGAACCCTCTTTTGTCCCACGGACACATTGCAGACTGAACCAAAAGCTGTGAGAACAACTACACGTTATGCTGTTCGCTGTGGTCCAAAGCAATTTACCTCTTATCTAACAGGTATGCTTTTGTCTTAATCATTTCATCTATAGACCTAACTAGAGGCCCGATGCATGAAGATTTGTGCAAGAATAGGCCTTCCTTTCCCTGGCTGCTGGCACCGCAGCCGCCAGAGCCGCCTTCTGCCTTCGTACTGCCCAGAGGCCCGGAGTGGCCGGGGCGGGGCAGAACGCCTGCGCCGTCGCAAGTGTCCCGGCCTGGCCACCATCATCTTTGGTGCATCAATTTGCATATTCCCGCCTTATTGGTTGTGGGCACCACCATCTTTTGTCTCGAAGTGATGGTCAATTTGCATATTCCATCTTTATTACATAGGATAAGCATGTATTAATGTTAGCAATAGGTGTTACTATGTACCTAGTATCTGTGGCATTGTTAATTATTGAGGATCAAAGAGGTATTATACTGACCATCGTTATTAAGAGTATACTATGCACCCTAACCGGTTTGGCTCAGTGGATAGAGTGTCGGCCTGCGGACTGAAGGGTCTCGGGTTCGATTCCGGCCGGGGGCGTGTGCCTTGGTTGCGGGCACATCCCCAGTATGGGGGTGTGCAGGAGGCAGCTGATCGATGTTTCTCTCTCATGGATGTTTCTAGCTCTCTGTCCCCCTCCCTTCCTCTCTGTAGAGAATCAATAAAATATATTTTAAAAAAAAAAAGAGTATACTATGCGCCAGCAATTGGTTCATGTTATTTCTAATTCTTAATAAGCCTGCAAGATAGATATTTTATCTCTTTTATAGATGATGAAACTGAGGTTCAGAGATTAAATCAATACTCTCTAAGGTTACATAGTTGATGATGGCAAAACTAGGATTTGAACCCACTTTTGTCTGACACCAAAACTTTTCACCAAATCATGCTTCTTTAAGTAATAACTATAGTCTTTGCTCTGGGACTTACATTATGCTCAAAGAAAAAAGATATAGACATGAAATTTACTAACATTACAAGAGAATACATACTAAGTGCCAAATGAATGGTTTAGTGAATTAGTACTACAGGTTTTTAAAAAGGGAAGGATCCCTGTATAAGAATTCAGAAGCCCAATTTTCTTCATTTCTTTTCAAGGAAAATATTCTAAATGTACTGTATTATTTTTCAATATTTAGGTCGGACTTTCACATAAACACATTTTTGGATCATGAGGTTATTTATCAAATCAATCCAGTTTAAGTCAGTAAAAATCAAGCATTTATCGTGTAAACATTGTTGGGCTAAGAATACTGGAGAGCCAAAGATGAATTAAAGATTAAAGATTTAATTAAAGATCTGTCCTTAAGAAGCTTACATTCTATCAAGAAAACATTTTGAAAACATCAAATGTAAAGAACAATAAAAATTCAGTAATTCAGAAAATATATATTGAATATTTAGCATGTGCTACACATTGTGCTAGGCACTATGGGATTACAAATGTGAATAAAAGTGTAATCAGAATAGTATCTAATTCTAACTAAATTCACAGAGTTTAGTTATAATAGTAGGTAGAAAGTGATAAGTGCTATTAAAGGATACCCATAGATACTCATGTACTATAGACCTAAAACTTAAGTCTGCAGGTGGTATTTTTATACAATTTTAACAAATGAAGAGTGATTAGAAATTCCTCAGGAAGAAAGAAAATATCTGTTAATATGATAATTAACAGGTCAGAGACTTATTTGAGCAAGCTGTGGTAAAATAAAGAATGCATTAGCCCTAGCCAGTTTGGCTCAGTGGATAGAGCATTGTTCTGTGGACTGAAGGGTCGCAGATTCGATTTCAGTCAAGGGCACATACATAGGTTGCAGGCTCGATCCTTGTCCCTGGTCCGGGCTCATAGGGGAGGCAACCAATCAATGTGTCTCTCTCACCTCAATATTTCTCTCTTTCTGTCTCTCCCCCTCCCTTCCACTCTCTCTAAAAATCAATGGAAAAATATCCTCAGGTGAGGATTAACAACAATGAAAAAAGAATGCATTAGACTTGACATCTGAACATTAGGTTGTTATCGGCTGTGGGATTTTGGGAAAGCCCCTGCCCATTTTTGACCCCCTTTTCCCTCATCTGTGAAATGGGATCAAATGGCTGCCCTTTCTATGGAAAAGCAGCCTGATTGAATGAGAAGAGCATGGGTTTTGAAGTCAGACAGTCTTGAATTTGAATTCTGGCTTTAGGATTGGATTCTAGGTGATGCTGGAAGGTCCTTAAGATCTTGGAGCCTTGGTTTCTTATTAGTTATGTGGGGATAATAGCACTTACCTAGAAGAAATTGTTGTGAAGATTGAACAAAAAAGTTTTGTGTCATTACTGCTCCAGTACCTGGCACATATGAGTATGTGTGAGTCTTACAAAAATATAATGTCTTAAGTACAGCATAGGGAATCTATAGTAATAAAAACGTAATATGCTAATTAGACCGGACATCCTTCCAAACAAAGTCGGTGCCAGAGGGAAGCCCTGGCCCCGAATGCCAGGGGAGGGAAGGCCTACTCTTGCACGATTTTCGGGCCTCTAGTATAGTCAATAACATTGTAATAACTATGTACAGTGCCAGGTGGCTAGGTGAAATATTGGGGGTTCCACTTTGTAAAGAATATGATTGTCTAACCACTATCTATGCAGGACACCTGAAACTCATAAAAAATAACATTGAATATAAACTGCAATTGAGAAATAGATTTTTTTGAAAAAATACCCTACCAACAAATACCAAGAAGGTTAAAGAGAGAGCGAATCTGAGTAGAAATCCAAAGAGAGAGAGAGAGAGAGAGAATATGAATCTGAGTAGAAATCCAAAATCGCAGGAAATTTGTATTTTCTAGTCACTCTGGCTATTCTTCTTTATTTACTCCTCCAGCAAACTAGCTGCTAGAAAAAATAAAAATGAATACAGGTTTTATTTTTTAAACAGTATGTGTGTACTGTATGCATACATAAATGAAGTCTTGGGCACTGTGGAGGATACAGAGATTTTATTTTATTTTGGGGGGGAAGTCTTGGGCACTGTGGAGAGAGTCTATTAAGAATTAACGTTTTTTTCTCCCTAGAAGTGATGAATAATGAAGCAGCATGGTGTAGTGTACTTTATATTTAGATCAAACTGAGTGTTAGTCCATTTTTGTGACTTACAGTTAGGTGAATTTAGGAGTGTTCATGACTTCTATGAGCCTGTGTTATTTTCAAATGGAGATAGAAATCCTGTATCATAAGTTGTTAAGAGAATTAGTGAGACATGGAATAGCCTGGCTGTTAGGAAATAACCAAAAAATGTTTGTACGCTTCCCTTATTCTGCATATGCACATCATTTTATAGTCTTCAAAGTACTTTTACATTTATTAGCTCATGATTTGCAGATAACTTCCATAGGAAGGTAAGACAGGGAATGTGATATAGGAAATTTGCTTAAAGACCTATAACAGTCATTAAGGATCTACCATGTGAGAGGACCCTGTGCTATGTTTTACTTGCAACACCCATCTCATATAGTCATGCTATATTGTGATTCCTGTTTTACAGATAACTGGCTTACACGGAAGTAGTTTTTAATATTGGCACTATAACACAGTTCTGTGTTAGAGTTCCTATGCTCTTTTCACTACAGTATTGAATCTATAGTGAAAATGAATCATTTTCTCAACTTTGGTAAACAAATATTCAGAAGTTATACTGTCCTGAAAGAATCTTAGATTCCAAATGAATGCATTATATTTCTTCTGCTGTAAATTATGACCATGACGGTATTAAGTTTGAGCGACTAACTGAAGAGTACAGTTAAGGAGTTTATTTTCATCCTGGTTAGTTCCAAATGCTCTCAGTATTTCAGTACTCCAGATACAATCAAGGAGTAAGCAATTAGATACTCGTGGGAGGCAGGGACTAACACTTGCATTTGTATAAGAGAAGCCCTTTGTTTAGTTCAAAACTAGAAATGGTGAGAATAAAAGAACTAAGAGTTACTGCTTTTTATATTTCAAAAGTAAAGCCTGAGTTCTTGCCAAATAAGTTAAAAAAAACTCTTGTTAATAAAAATTTTTAATCAAATACTTGATATGCTAAATTTTTTTGTTCAATGTAATTGTTTTTTCTCCATGCAAGGTATTTTGTCATTGTTCTTCTCTAAAACTTTGTTCTGTTAATCATGGGTTCACTCTCCCTTCTACCTCAGAATGATATAGTAAGTGCATGGTTTATCTGAAAATAAAATGATTTTTTAATGTAAAAATTTTTTTCTAATGTATACCTCTGTTCATTTAAAAAAATAAAAGTAAATGAAAGTATCTATATTATAATTGTTTCTGATTAGATATGGCTGTGCTGGTGCTGGAAGTAATCACCAAACTTGATCATCTTCCAATTGGTAGAGTTCAGATCAATGGATTAGCCAAGCTTTCTCCAACCCATCATATCAATGGATTTTTCAACATTGTTTCACCAACATCTAAGAAACTTGGAGAACTCCAGGTAAAGATATTTTAATTCTTTGTTGCATAGAATAAAAATTTGGGAGCACAAATAGGTGAGTCTGTTTGTAGGATAGATAGGTACATGACTCCCATATACCATGTTAATTCCCACTTAACGCCTTTGTTCAGATTTTTACCCAAAGGTATATGATATACCTTTGTTTCCCACTTATTCTTGATATTTTTTTCTATTGCTATTCAAATTCAGTAATCTTTTTTTAAAATTCTTTATTTTTATTGTTTAAAGTATTCCCCCATTGACCTCTCCCCAGCTACTCCCACCCCCCAGCACATACCCCCCGCCCCCTATTGTCTATGTCAGGGGTGGGCAAACTTTTTGACTCGAGGGCCACAATGGGTTCTTAAACTGGACCGGAGGGCCGGAACAAAAGCATGGATGGAGTACTTGTGTAAACTAATATAAATTCAAAGTAAACATCATTACATAAAAGGGTACGGTCTTTTTTTTTTTTTTTTTTTTTTAGTTTTATTCATTTCAATCGGGCCAGATCCAGCCCGCGGGCCGTAGTTTGCCCACGGCTGGTCTATGTCCATTGGTTATGCTCATATGCATGCATACAAATCCTTTAGTTGATCTCTTAACCTACCAACCACCAAACCCTGCCTTCCCTCTTAGGTTGGATGGTCTGTTTGATGCTTCTATGACTCTGGCTCTATTTTTGCCACAAATT